CCCCAAAACCCCAAAACCCCAAAACCCCAAAACCCCAACTGTTTTAATTAATTGAAGATTATTCTAGCCCACAAGTACACCAATCAGGTTTTAATCCAAAGGATTAAGGACCAGCTGGTTTATTTCAAATCTTTCTTTCCGGACTCATTCAGAGCTCCTAAGTTAGCAAATGACGGCAGGTTTTTGCTCGACGTGAACCTAGTCATTTTAGAAGCCCTATGGTTAGTATTTGACCCAATCTGGGTAATTCTTAAAGACCCATCCTGGTTTCCTAGGTTCCCTAGAATAGAACCAGGAGACTTGGAGCTTTTCATGACCATTTTGTTCAAGTAATTCCTGTGATTCTTCGAATAGCCAACATTTTGAGGTCCTATATGAAGCTTAGACTAGTCACCAAATGAAAGAAGTTAGGAGTGTTTAGGAAAGTAACCTGTTTGAGTCGGTGATTGACTTAAAAGGCTCTTACTCTTGCCAGGACTCCCCTCAGGACTATGGTTCACAGTTCTAAATTTATTCTCCAGTTTATGGTTCCTTCCATTTTTATTAACACTGAACAGCATTAATTCTCTCTTCCGCCTGACTGTTCTAAATTCGTTGGCATTTCTATTGCTTAAGTTGTTATATCTTCCGAGGGAAGAGCTGTCTTGTTTCATCTTAGTTCTATAGGTCCTGGCGACTGAGGAATGCTTTCCGTCAACCTTCTTGAAATAAATCTGGCTGTTTAATGGTTTTATAGAGCCACTATAGGAAAATTGAAAACTTAGAATTATTCCATGCCTACCTCTTTTCACTATAGTTCCCCAATGAAGATGTAGCGTATTTATTCTGACTCTTTCCGATACTTTTGCTGGTGGAGTGGGAAAGAGGATCATTATTTGGTATATGAGTTTCTTTATCTCCTTTACTCACCCAACCATTCTTAACTGCTACAGATGGATGCAGCTTCATAGAATTAACGTTTGGCATGAAATGGAGATGATCAGGATCATTATGACTGTTTCTTTGAGATCCTCCTCTTGGTCCTAGATTATTACCAGTTCTACTCTTTCTGATAGAAGAGTTAAATGATTTGAAATATGAAAGTGCAGGCTCATTCTTTGAACTCAAATTTTGGTCGGCTTTATCCTTCTCTTCCTCTTTTAAATCCCCAGATTGCTGGCTAAGGTCGATACCAGCCATATAATCATTACTAGTAGATTGAGGATTTCTCAAATGAGAATTTTGGCTATGAGATCTTTCTCCTAGCTTGCCTCCTTTAAGAATCTGGCTTGCTTTGTTGAACAATACCTTGTCTTCAAAAACTATTGCTTCAATGATATCTCGGACATCTTCAACTTTTGAAAGGGGCTCTAAAACTTCAGCGAGGGAATAAAGCTCTGTGTCTTCCATATCATCATACCAAGAGGTTGTAGGCAATGCTCATTGGGGATGCAAAAAGTACGAAGCTGGACTATTATCTATAATGATTGTGCCTTTTAAATCTCTGTCAAGTCTATCAAGATCCTTGACAAATATACCACTTCGAAAAGTTCAGTGTTCTCTGAACAGTCTATGTGAACATAACTTCTTAGGATCTAGCCAGTCAAGTAAAGGATTGGCGTATTTAGACAGAGAGGCTGTATAGATAACCAGTTCATAATGCTTGGCCATTTCCTCAAGGAAATCATCTACACCTGGCCTTTTCAGCACGTATACATATCAGACCTGGTTTTCAATCTCAACTGGCAGTAGGAGGTCATAATGGCCAGGCGGCTGGAAGCTAGAATGGACCAAAGTCTCGTCCAAATCAAGCACAAGGGTCTTCTTGCCCTCATCTTTCTTCAATTGCTTAGGCAGCACAATCTTATTTTTAGGCTGGTTATTAATATAGGGGTTGACAAAAGGAGATAGCTGAGGTTTTGAACTACCCTTCTGCACTTGAGTCACCAACATAGAAGCTAGGCTAGCCTTCTGTGTACGTTTACACAAGACCAGTTTTTCCTTAGTTCTAGGAGTAAGCTTTGCCTTTTTAGTCTTCTTAATTTCCATATTTTAATTATATAATACTTTAATAGTTTCTGCTTGCTTCAATCCAAGAGATGCCAAGTGGGGTTTTGGGGTTTTGGGGTTTTGGGGTTTTGGGGTTTTGGGG